AGGAGGGTTAGGACGGAATGAGGAGGGAAGGAGGAGGGGGGGGGAAGGGAGGGAGGGGAAGGAGGAGGAGGGGGGAAGGGAGGGATGGACAAACGGGAGGGGAAGAGAGGGCTTGGGTTGGGAAGGGTGGGGAGGGAAGGGGAGGGGAGGGGATGGGGGGGAGGAGGAGGAGGAGGAGGAGGAGGAAGAGGGGGCGGAGGAGGAGGAGGAGGAAAAGGACCATCACATGCTGAAGAGGAAGGCTAGGGTTAGACCGACCCGACCCTAACCGAAACCTTGGGATTACATCCGTTCTCCCCTTACGCCGTTCTTCGACCCTACATCGCCGCTCCTTCCTTGAGGAGCTGGGCTGCAGGGAAGGGCTGGGGAAGTCGGGGGCGGGCCTTCATACTGTCCTTCGGATGACGGCCGCCTGACACCCGAGACCACGCACCTTCAGAGAACTTGCTTCTGAAGCGCTCACTGCATTCACCTCTGAGTCCTTTGAGGTTGCTCTCCGAATAACGGCCGCACCTCTTGCAGATTATGAGAAACGACTCGACATCGAGGTAATCGCACATCAACAGTCGGTGCTGCCTGGGCTCTCTAATTAACTGGGACAGCGCTGCAGAATTGCCAGGGCACACTTTTCGCGAACGGGTTTGGCGGGTGCTATCAGTGCAGGCGCGAGTGTGACACGCTAAGCACAGCCAGTGGTTGTTGATCCAACCCCATTGGTGGCGAGCCAAAACCTGAGGGTTACGGCGGGCCGCGCGGGCCCGCCGAGGAACAGGCCGGTCCCAGAGCGGCACTCCAGGTCGGACCCCCGAGAATCGACAGCGCCAAAGACCTGGATCTGGTAGTACATCTGGGTCCTACGATCTTGAGGTACTGGGATTGGGCCTCTTGCACCTCGGGGTTGGTGAGACCGACCACCTCTGCTCCGTAGTAGGCGGCCGCCTTCAGCCCTGTCTGGTAAGTCTTACGCATATTTGCATCTGCTCTCCTAATCTGCGCCAAACGGTGGAGACGACGTCTCATTTTTGTCGATCGCTTCCCGAGGGTCGTGCGTGACTTTTTGCTGAGCCTGTTCCCCATGGTAAAATCTACTCCGAGGTTTGGCGCTGACTGTGCTTGGCGGACACCATCGGGTCCACTGTACTTGCCTAGGGCCTTCGCCAGTCTCTGCTGCACCACTGCTGACGAGCCCAACGCCGCCACCTTGTGCAGCGCGACCGAGCAATCGAGGTCCTCCTCGATTAAATATAGCACGCTGTCGGCGGCCTGCGCCAAGTCCGACACCAGGGGCCTCGCGCTAGTGTTGCTGTTGGCCAACATGAAATCATCTATGAAGATGGATGGGGTCCACTGTGGGGAACTTCGGGGCCCAGGAGTGCATGGACTCCACTGTGCATTTGCACGTTGTAGGTAGCGAGCGAGCATCCCGCGGGGAAACCTTTAGTAGCACAGCCAGTATAAGTAGTCAAGGTCCTCGTTGCAACTACCCTCGCCCCCCCCCCCCCCCCCATATTGGTTTCATCATAAGACAAACTAACGCCACCGAAAATCCAGAATATATAGCCCGAGACTTCCACTTGTCACGGTTCACATTTTCATAATAGTTAGAGAGATCCCAAATGATGCCACCAGTATGAACAGCTTGGTAACCAACTAGTTCGGCCTTGAGGGCCTGGGCATAAACAGTTTCTAGCTCGCCTCGACCAGACTGATGGGCCAGATAGGGCCTCTTGTTGGCCCACTCCCAACGACGAGCTTCCACCTGTCGGATCTTGGACCAGACCCTCCAGAGAGCGGGGAGGGGACCGATGCCACGGCAGGATGGTCCCTCAGCTTTGTCGGCTTTGTGCTTCTCGATCAGTGTAATGATAATGCTGCGGATAGCGGTCGGAAATACTCCAATCTCTTCAATGGCAGCCAAAGGCTTACACACCTGCTCCAACTCACGGGTAGACGAGGGTGAAACCCGTCCCAGGTTTGACTGGTTGATTTCGGAAATCTTTTGGCTGCCGCACGAATCTGGCCGGGCGTGATGGGCTCCAAGCGGTCGCGCTCGGTCGACGGCAAGTTAAAATTCTGCCCCTGCGGCTTGACCTTCCGAAGTCCTGCCGAGCGGGAGGCCTCCGACTGGAGCAGCTCAAACGGCCGTCCTGAAAGAGTCTGCAGATCTGGGCGCCTTACTTTTTGAGGCTGCCAGCTGGTGATCTTTGAGGTCCAGCGGTGGGCCCGCCCAACCCCTCTGGACATGGCCTCCTGGGCCCAGTTGCGCCAGACTGTGGTTGCGCTTTGACGGTCCCTGGCCTCCTCAGCTTGCAGCGCTCGGTCGACTGATTCATCGAGCTCTTCGAAAACGTTCAGGACAAGCTTGGGGCCCAGCACTCCGTTGTCCTGATCTTGAGCAGTGGCGCCTAGAGCAGTCCGAACGCCGGCAAGCAGACGGGCAAACTCCTCGGTGCCTTCGAGCTCTGGAGGTGGTGGCTGGATGTTGACCAGAATCCCCGAAAGATAAAACTCCTCCCTGGAATGAACCTGTCGGATGACATCCACCACTTTTTTTCCAACCATCTGAGCGGGATCGACAACCCCCCCCCCGAACTGGCCTTGGGTTCTACCCCCCGAGCGGCTCCTGGTACCCAACGGGTCTTGGGTCGTCCTACTCTCGGCATGGTGGGCGACTTGATCGGCGTATCCGTGCGGGTGCTGATCGACTTCGCCATGTCACTGGCGAGTTGCTGGTACGTGGAGTTCAGGGCCAGCAAGCGGGCCTTTATGTCGAACTCCTGGGCGATGACCTGGCCCAGGAAACCCAGGGCAGCTTCGGTTTTGTCCCACGACGGTGCAAAGTTGGTGGGCCCATAAGGCCTGGTAGTAGAGAACGGTTGGGGCATGTCCAAGACGGGCACCATAAAGGGCTTCCCACACCTGGGCTGAAACAGAACGAGCCTGTGGGGGCTCAGCGAGTAGTCCTCCAGGACGTCGGCGCCCAAGAGGTCCTGGTCGAAGCGCGATGAGGCTAGGGCGTAGTCGATGGTTGTAGCTGATTTCTTCGTCTTACACGTAGGGGTAGCTGGGGCCAGAATCTTGGGGCCCGCTCTCAACGGGCAGTTCGACTCCACGACCTTTTTGATCGAAACGTTGAAACCCCCAGCAATGATGAGTGGCTGTCGCGCAGCAGCCTGAATCATTGCAACCCCAGCTAGAATCTCTAAGTTGTATTTGTTGAGGCCCACCCCGTCGGCCAGGTAGATCGAAGCTAGTGCGAAAGGCCGGTGTCCTGGCAGTTCAAGTGAAACTGCCGCGCAACGTGATTCTGCGACCCCCGCAGGAAGTTGCGCCCTGGATGCTCCGAAGTCATGCCCGTCGCGAATCAAAATCCATGCGCCTTGGACAGGGTACCTTCTGTCACTGAGCACGGCTGGTGAGAGTATCGCCTTCCACCCCGCGCGCTCGCACCACTGTATTACATGTGGGGGCGCGTCTTTTAAACTCTGACCTCTTGGCAGCAGATGATGTTCACTGCCTCAGCTGCTGAAGACTGGAGAAAATTCCTGATCGATCTCCAGCAGCTGCCGTTGATTGTGGCGAACATGACCGTGTTACCCGCAAGACGTTTTGTCCGCAGGGTCGCCCTTGCCGCCCTTGCCCTTGGCTGCGGCGACGCACAGGGCCTTGGCGCTCTTCTGGGGTGCGTCAGTGCTCTCCAGCTGCTGAGGGGGCTGCGGGAGGTTCTGGCCTTGCAGGTTCAGCACCTGGTCGACGGCCTCACCAGCGCGCTTGCTGCCCGCGAGGCGCTTCTGATCGGCGTTGAGCTCCTCGACCTCCATGGCCTTCTCCTCCTCGTCGTAGACTGCGTCCTCCTCGGGGCTGATGTCAGCGCCGCCCGCAGCGCCGTCCGATGCGCCAGGGCCCGCGGGCGTGGGCGGTCCGCCATCCGCCGGCGGCAGGGCTGGGGCGTCGGCGAACGGGGTTGGCCCGCCGCCTGGGACCGCCTGGGCCCCGCGGGGCTGGGCCTGCGCAGCCTGGGCATGCTGCGCCGCGTGCGCCGCTTGCCACTCCGCGCGCAGCTTGGCCGCGAGCTGCGCAACGGCCGTCTGCGCCCCGGCGGATGGGGCGAGCCTTGGCGGGAACTGGCTGGAGATAATGGCTCCAGACTTGGGGCCTCGCACGCGTGCTCCTTGAGCGCCTGCTGGGCCGCCATCTTGTGCTGGGTCTCAAGCTGCTGTACCTCAGGCGTGAGATCGGCAGCGGTCTTGATCTGCTCCTCATAGTCGTTGGCCATCTTCACAATGGCCTCATACGTCTTGTCACATTCATGCTGGGCGCTGGTCAGCTTCTTCTTGGTGGCCTCGAGCTGATCGTGCAGGGACTTCCTCTGCTGATCCCAAGGTTTGGCTGCCAGCGTTGATGCCTTCACGGCCTGCAGGTAGTGCTGCCCAGAGGTGCCCTCCACCTTCTTCCAGAACTGGACCGCCGCCGAACACACAGCGACTGGGTCACGTTCGGGTTCCTCTGGTGCTCGCGCTCCCGCAGCTCCTTTGGGGTGGCCTTTCGGCGCTGGGCTGACTGTGCGCCTCCGCCACCGATTGGGGATGCCGTCGGGATTCACGTTCTGGTTGGCATTGGTCGATACTGACTGGGCAGGCCGTCGGCCGAGGAAGGCTCCTCCACACTGGCCGCAGAACTTGAACGGCTTGTCGGCCCATGTCTATCCTTTGCACCCGCCCGACTGGCAGTCAATGTATTTGCGCCCTTCGCCTCGGCCACGGCTGGCTCGCCTCTGGCCGCCCATGTCTGACTGGTGCGAGGGGGGCCCCAGGCTTGGCTGCTGGCCTGGGGCGGTGCTGCTGGTCAGCGCGAAAGCAGGCGCCACCTGCCTACGGTAGGCTAAAGAGATAGCAGGCGCCACCTGCCCACGGTCGGCCTGTGCCAGAGCGGCTTGAGCCAGGAGGAGGAGGAGGAGGATGAGGAGACGGAGGAGGAGGATGATGAGGAGGAGGAGGAATCGGATGAGGAGGAGGTGGAGGAGGAGGAGGAGCAGGAGAAGGAGGAGGAGGAATACTAATCATAATGGCAAGAAGAATAGTCATAATAAAAATAACAAGAACAATGATAATACTAATCCTAATACTAAGAAGAAGAGTCGTATTAATAAGACGAATAACATGACGAACATTTATGAGACGAATACGCATAATAATATAAGAATGATCATAATAAGCAGAAGACGAAGACGAATCTTATTATTAATGATAAGAAGACGGATGCAGCCAATAAGACTAATACTAGTATTAATACTACGAAGAAGAACAATACTACTAATACTGATACGAATAATACGGTTAGTCATAATCATGACAAGAAGAATACTACTACTACTAGAAGTAAGAATGCTACGAATAATAAGAATACGCGTGCCAAGAAGACTACTAATGCTAATACGAATAGCAAGAAGTATAACAATCATAATACTAAGCGGAATAATAATAACCATACGAATCATATGATGAATACGCATATTCAGAAGATTACCACTAATACTAATGGTAAGAATACTGCTGATAATAATACGAATAATAACATTGAAAAAGAATGGTAATAGGAATACGAAGAAAAATAATAATACTAATGCTAATAGTAATAATCCCAGTAAGGCCAATAAGACGACGAAGAAAACTACTACCAATAATAGGAAGGCGACTAATAATCATACAATAATAATAAGATTACGACTAATAATACCAAGAATAACAAAAGTAATAATAATACTGATAACCATTAGAAGGATGATATTAATACCATTAATACGAATACTAAGAATACTAAGAAGAAGAATCATCATATTAATAATACTAGGAAGACAATTAATAATACGAATACGAATAATAATAATAATACTACGGCGACAACGAATAATAATAAGGAGAGGAAGGCGACGAATAATAATACCAATAAGAAGAATACCACGAATACTACTACGAGCACTGGTAATAGTACTAACATCCAGAAAACGAATAATATTAATACGGAAAAGAATAATAATAACAATACTACTAATACTGAAAGGACTAAGGAGAAGACGAAACAGAAGAATACGAATACGAATAATAATAATAATAATAATATTACTGATCATAATACGATTACGTATACTAGTAATAGTAATACTACTGATAATAGTAATAACACCACTTCGTAATACCAATAATAATTAGAATACTAATACTACCAACAACAATAAGAAACATAAGAGGAGGAGGAGGAGGAGGAGGAGGAGGAGGAGGAGGAGGAGGAGGAGGAGGAGGAGGAGGAGGAGGAGGAGGAAAGGAGGAGGAGGAGGAGGAGGAGGAGGAGAAGGAGGAGGAGGAGGAAGAGGAGGACGAGTGGGGGGGGGAAAGGGAGGGGGAGGCGGTGGCGGAGGCGAAGGCGGAGGCGGAGGCGGAGGAGGAGGAGGAGGAGGAGGAGGAGGAGGAGGAGGTGGAAGAGGAAAAGGTGGAGGAGGCGGAGGAGGAGGAGGACGAGGAGGCGGAGGAGGGGGGGGGGTAGAGGAGGGGCTCCTCCGTGGGCGGGACCCTTACGGGGGCGGGGACCCTTTGGGGGCGGGGCCCGCCGTGCCGCCTCGGGCGGGCCGTGCCCTCAGGGGTCTCTCCTCTGAGCGTCGGGGGCTCTCCCCCCATGGATCCGACGTTTGACAAAAATTGGAGCGGCGGGCTTTTGGCCGTGTTGGGCCTCTGGTGGCCCTCGCAGGGCCTCGGGAGCGCCAAAAAGCGAGTCAGGAGGAGAAGCCCGCCCTGAGGAAGTGGTCCAGACTTCCGGGGCCCACGCATCAAAAATATTGGAGCAGCGGGATGTCTGGGCCCGGCCTTGGGGGGCGCACAACAGTGTGTGTGTGTGTGTGTGTTTGTGTGTGTCTGTGTCTGTGTCTGTGTCTGTGTCTGTGTCTGTGTCTGTGTCTGTGTCTGTGTCTGTGTCTGTGTCTGTGTCTGTGTCTGTGTCTGTGTCTGTGTCTGTGTGTGTGTGTGTGTGTGCGACAAAAGGGGTGGGGGGGGCAGCGAGGGCTGCCCAAAAGGGGCCCTTTCGGGCCCAGTAGTGGGCCGAGAAGGGCACCTCCCTCCCCCCCCTCTCATGTATCGCCTCCCCATGAATTCGCGCTCGGCGGCCTTCCGACGCGGTGTCTCGCGGAGCAGCTCGCCTGGTGAGGGCTCCGTGTGAGCCCGCCAACTCCGGGGGGAACAGGTATACCCAAACCGCTTCCCCTTTCCTCTTTTTCGCCATCTTGGGCTTCCTCGGAGGCCCACGTCGCCACCGCTGGATTTGCCTCGAGATTTTGGTCACAGCGCACCCCGGGAGAGGTCCGCGGAGTCGCGGTAGCGGTACCTTTCTGTGTTTTTCCCCACTGACGCTCAGGCAAGGGATGTCGTGCCGCCGAGATTGATGGCCCCTCGTGGCCCCCCACTGTGGCTCCTCATCCTAATGGCCCCCCGTCGGCCCCCGCCCCCCGCCCCAATCGCGGACCCCCCCTTCTTGTGGCGCGCCGTAAGGCTTGTAAGGGTGTTCAGGGTCTTCAGCCGCAGGCGGCTTTCCCGACTATCCCGTGCTGAGCTGGGTCCTCGTTTGTACTCCGCAGTCTCCTGCTTCCTCCTCCTCGTTTTCGTCCTCCATTCCTTTTCCTTCTGAATAATTCATTTCTCCCCGTCGCAACCCGAAACCGTTTTTTTGGGGCGGGCCGGGCGTTTTACCATTTATGATCCTGAAGCTTAGACATCGACAGCACTGTCACAGATGGAGGTCCGACCGTTTTCAAAACGTGGCTCTCGCCATAGCGCCGCGCGCATTTGTTTTAAACAGTTGCAAGGGTTTCACGGATTGGGGGCGGTTCCTTTTCAACATGTGGCTCTCGTCTTAGCTCCGCACGCATTCCTTTGTTATAACTTGCAATCCTCTCACGGACGCCCATGGTCGATGTACCAGCAATTGTTGTTTGGAACGGTTCAAGATCATGAGCATGCAACAGTTACGTTCGTTCGCGATTTTGAAGTCCCAGGAATGCAATTTCCTGGTACGATTCAGGGTCGTAAAGACGCAGAAGTCGTGTGGATCCGTGACGTTGGAATCCCGAGAGTCATGTTTTGGCATTCTTCAGGGTCTTCAGACGGTGGTCTTCCAATGAGGCGGTTCCCTCAGTGGAAATAAATCCCTATAGGGGCCCATGAAGAGGAAATTTGGAGGGAGGGTCTATTCCAGCATCGGTGATGACTCTTGGATTTGCACTGGTCCTCCTCCTCCTCCTCCTCCTCTTCCTCCTCCTCCTCCCCCTCCGACTCGGGCGGCATTCAGCAATAAGATGGCATCTACTCCCCCTGCTCTCTCCGCCTCCTCCTCCTCCTCCTCCTCCTCCTCCTCCTTCTCCTCCCACTCCTCCATCTTCTCCCCCTGCTCCCTCCTCCCATCCTTGCCCCTGCCTTCGCATGCTTCTGCTGCGGCACATCCCTCACACGTTTCGTGGCCCAACGGGGGGCTTTCCCGAAGGCCCCACAAGCGACGCCCGCATGAGGCCTCAGTGGCAGCGCCCGCACGGTGTATCCGCCTCCATTTCGGCACACCCTTACACGTCTCGTGGTAATGGGCTCGGCAGATCCTGGCGGCCTGTTGGACGCCTGCGGAGATGATGAGGACGAGCGCAAGCGCATTGCCGACGCCATCGATACTCTGCGTGCAGCCAGGCGGGCCAAGACATACTGAGCCTAGTGCAAAGGGGCGCCGACGCTGGTCGGCTCTTCCTGTCAACGCCAGCGCGTACAGCAAGGTCGAGGCGCTGATGCAGCATTGGCCAATGCACAACAGTGGTACGACAGTTAAGGAGGCATACTTCTCGCCGACGACATGCGGTGAGGTGGTCGACTTTTCGGTCAAGCAGATTTGGTGTACGCTGGCGCGACCCCTGGCCGACACGGGGCCTGGGTGCCACGGACACGGCGGGTGACTCCAGCTGGCGCCTTGCGCGCGCGGGCTCGGAGCTTTCTAGAGCGGGCTGGAGCTCTTTCCTGGGAGTGTCACCGCCGCCCACGTCGCGGTGATCGTGCAGGATGGCGTCATCAGGCGCAGCGTGGGGTTCTATCGGGCCAACAGGAGCCCAGCCCCCCGCATCGAGCAGGAGGTCACCAGGTGGGCGAAGAGGTGGATCCAGGACATCGGGCTCGGGGCGAGAAGTCTGACGCCGAGAACGAGTGGAGCCATCGTTGTGGGCGCTACGTGTCGAAGATGCTCCAGCGCGCGCGCCTCGACTGGGTCAGGGCGTCAACGCGCCTCGCCACAGAACAGCTCGCGACGGAGATCTTCGCCTCCGAGTCGCAGGAAGTACTTGGCCTGGGTCAACTCCCTCAGCGGCCAGCAGGTTCGGGCGGCGGCCATGATCCGAGCACATGGCGTTGAGGAGGTGGATCAATGACCCGCAGAGGCATGCACCGCTGCATCCCACGTGGCCCCCGCGCAGAAGGGCGAGCAAGGCTCCAGTAAGGGGCCTAGCTGAGGTAAGTGTCCTGCCTGGCGGTGCTCGTGCCGCGCAGCCAGCCCTGGATCTCGGGCCGAGGGGGTCCGACAGTGCAGGGCGTGGAGGAGCACGAGCGGCGCGGGTGACGCGCTGCCAGCCCTGGAATTCGGGTCGAGGGTTGCCGCCTGAGGAGGGCTGCCGCGCCGATGCGCCGCGCTCCGAGTTCGGCGCGCGCAGCGCGTGGCTCAACCCTGCGCGTTCCTGGGGATCCAGCGTGGTCCATCATGGCCTTGACAGATTTCCTACATGCGCCGCGCCCCGCGCGTGGCCCCACCCTGCTCGTTCCTGTGGGCCCAGCGGGATCTGTCAGAACCATGGGGGATTCCCTGCGCGCGGAACACTGTGCGCCGCGCGGCGCGAGCCGCGCGCGGGGCTCAGCCCCGCGCTTTCCAGGGGGCCCTGCGGGGCCAATCAGAACCCTGAGAAGTTCGCTGCTGCGCGGAGCTCCGCGCCGCGCGGCGCGCGCCGCGCCGCTCAGGAGGGGTAGCTCCCCCTTCGCAGCCCTCCTTGCCCGCGGCCTCGGTCCAGGCGCAGTGGAGGTCCTGGCGAGGCCACCCCGCGCAGCGGTGGTGGAAAGGCGCCGCGCGGCCAGCCGGCGCCGGCCGGACCCCTTCCTCGAGCGGGGCTCAGTGGATTTCGTGGGTGGTTCGATGGTCGGCCAAGAAAGAGTCCCAGCGCTGCGCGCTGCAGGGCGGCGGTGACTTGCAACTATAAGGGGTGCTTCGTGGCAGCGGCTTGGCACGCCGTCCCTTTTCGACCAAGGACCTGGCCAGCTATCTGGAGATGGAGAAGACGACCGCGTTCCTGAGATGCCAGCTGGGCCCGTGGAAACCATGGGAATTCCCTGCGTGCGCCGCGTCCCGCGCCGCAAATGCCTCGCGCGGCCTGCTCCGCGCCGACGCGAGGGGGGGGGCCTCTGCGCGGATCCACGCGGCCCAGCCGCATTCGGCAGGGGGGGGGGCCTGGGCCGGGGCCCTGCAGCGAGACATGACGGACCGCATTCGTCTGCAGGGCCTACTCTCTGGAGGGCGGCGCGTCGAGCCAGCTTTCGGCGCCGAGGTCGCCGAGGGGCCTCCGATCTTAAACAATTTGCAACGCCGTCGCGCCGCAGGCGGCCGACGCCGCCACCAGGCAAGTCGGCCAGCCTGTCGTCGTGGGGGCGGCTTCAACAAGAGGCCCCGCGACTCCGCGCAATCGTTTTTTTTTTCGGCGCGCTCACCTTGCAGGGCGTGGATCGCCCGAGGTTCGCGGTGTCGGGCTGCCGAGGTGGCCGGGCGCGCGGGCCCGGCGCTGGGGCGCGGCGCATGGCTGCGCCGCGCCGCGAGGTCGAGCGTGGGCCGTGGGCCGCCGCCAGAGCGTGCGAGTCCGAGGGCCGCGTGGTCGCGCTCGCGAGGTGGCGGGGCGCGCGCCTCGGACCGCTCGGCGAATTGGCGCGCCAGCGCTGGCAGCTCGAGTGCGCGGCGTGCGTCGCAGCGATGCTCCTGTTGGGCGAGATGAGGGGTCTCTTCGTCGGGCCGCGGGGCGCCCCGGCCGTCGGCGGGCGCGGGCGCCCGGCGGAGGAAACGCGCGAGAGCGCGTGGCAGCGAGCTCGGGTCGATTGCGCCCGACGCTGACAGAGGGCGCAGGGCCTCGAGGGCGACGCGCGCCAGGGCGAGGAAGAGCAGCTTTCAGCTGGTGCAGGGGCGGTTAGCCCGATCCCAACGGGGGCGGTGCCCGGGGGCCCCGGGGCGCGGCAGCGGCCCCGTCCTGGGGCCGCCGCCAGTGGCCTCCGCCACAGCGCAGGCGACTGACCAGGGTGCTCGAGCCTGTTGAGCGGGCCCTGATCCCAGCGAGCGGGCCCCCCGCCCGGCCTGGGTCGCGACCCGCCGGGCAGATCGATCCCGTCGGGCGGGGGCAACTCCACCCAGAAACGATTCTTTCTACGCTGACAGCTCCGAAGCCAGCGGCGGCCGAGGGGGGGCGGGGTCGGCCAGGGGCGCGGCCGCCGCGGCGGGGCAGCCGCAGTTGCCATGGCGGCGCCGGCAGACGCCGATGCTGCTGCGAATGGAGGCGCAGGGTGCGATGATGTTGCGCCGCCAGATCGAGGGCGGCCCAGCAGGTCCTGCAGGCGCCACGTGGGCTTCGGGGGCCGAATCTAGCTCGGCTGCGAGCGGCCCGACCTCGACAACGACGCGGCCGTCGTCCCGATGTCCGACGGCGGACTGAGGCCGATCGCGGTTTTGGGGGCGACGGAGCCCGCGCGCGGGCGGCCCAGTCGCCCGCTGGCGATGCAGTGGGAGGCCGATAATGACAGCTTGCAGCGGCGAGCCGGCGCAGGCGGCGGCTGCGACGAAGCCGCGGGTCAGCAGCAGGCGCGAGCGGAGCGGCGCCGCATGGCGAGAGTTCGCGAGAATCAGGATTGGGAAACCGCCTCGGCTTTGATGAATTCGGCGAGCATGGCGACCAAAGGACTCAAGGCGCTGAGAGTCAAGGGCCGCGGCGCGCGCGTGAGCGGAGCAGGCGGCGCCGAGAGCTGCGGCGAGTGCTCGAACGCCGCCCCGAGGCTCGCCCTCGCCGAGCGCCGGGTGGTCAGGGCGAAGGGCGGCGTCTGAGGCCCTGGGGCGACCCGCGGGCCAGGGCGCCATCGGCCTCGGCGCGACGCAGAGAGCGCCCGCGTGCTCGTCGCGAAGTCAGGGGTGGCGGATGCCCTCGCTCCTCGCGCGGAGGGCAGCGGGGCCGCGCGCGCGGCGGCCGGCGGGAAGGCTCTTCGGCCCGCTGGGGCTGTGGCGGCGGCGCTGGCGGCAGCGGGGGCGCGCGGGTACGAGTTGTAGACGGAGACGCGCGGCGGCCAGGGCGGCGGCGCTGGCGCGGGCGCGCTGCCCGCGGGCCCTCGCGAGGGCACCGAAGGCGTGGCTGAGGGCGCCGGGCGGGTCTGATGCGAAGACAGCTGCGGGGGGGGCCAGGCCGCGTTCATGGTCGGCCAGCGATTGCCCTGGCGCCCCAGACCGAGGCGCTGGCAAGGCCGAGGGCCCCGGCGGGCCTGGTTCGCTGGATGCCGTGGGCGAAAGGGCACCGGCTGCGCGCCTTTCACGGCTGTGAAGCGCGCTCTCGGCGCGGCTGGCGCGCCGAGGAGATCGGGGGTGAGCGCCGCGGGCTCGGCGCGCCGCGCGGGGGGGCCAAGGCCGAGGAGGCCGGCGGGAGCAGGTGGCGCAAGGCTATCATGTTCACCAGGGGAGTGCGCCCCGAGAGCGGAAGGCCGCTCTCATGAGCGGACGCCTGTGCGTGTGGCTCGCCTCTCTTTCTCTTTCTCTTTCTCTTTCTCTTTCTCTCTCTCTCTCTCTCTCTTTCTCTTTCTCTTTCTCTTTCTCTCTCTCTCTCTTTCTCTTTCTCTTTCTCTTTCTCTTTCTCACTTCTTCATTTCCTCTCTCTCTCTCTCTCCCTTTCTCTTTCCCTCTCCCTCTCCCTCTCCCTCTCCCTCTCTCTCCCTCTCTCCGAGCCCGCGAGTGCATGCGCCTGGCGAGCTTGTATCGGGCAGTCTGTCGAAGTTTGGCCGTTTGTCAGCCTCCAGCGCTGGGCCGCGTGGGTTCGGTGACCGCCGCTGGCCGCGGGGGCAGATCGGGGCGCGCCGCGCGCCTCGCTGCGGAACGAGAGGAAAAAGCGCAGAAGTGACAGCGCCCGCGTGGCGCACTCGCCTCCGATTCGACGCGCGCCGTGCCTCCAATCCAGCAGATTCCTCGTGCGCTCCGTGGCCCCAAGGAGAGCTCCCCCGAAGGCCCCGCAGGAGGCGCCCGCCCGGCGCGCCCCGCTTTTTCTGTCGTCTCGCTTGCCCCGCGGCGCCCTCACCTTTGCGTGGTTGGGGGTTTCTTTGGGTGTTTCCCCTCGATGTTGGCTTCTGGGGCGTGGCATCTGCGCCAAGAGTGCTGGTGCGAACTGTCGTGGCTCAAGGCATCTACCACGATAGGTGCCGTGCTCTCGCTGCCGCGCCCCACGAGCGCCCACGGACGTGGCACAGCCACCACCACGGAACCCAGAGCGGATCAGAGCCTGATGGTGACCTTGCCGTTGAGCCCACGCCTCATGGAGAAAGGGAACACGATGTAAACAGAACTTTTGGAAGGTCCATGCTTCTCTCTGTTGGTTGGCGCTGGATGCCCCGGGCTGCGCCGAGCGCGCCGCGGGAAGGGTCCAGCGCCGACCTAAGAAATCCGCGCGGACCCTTCAAAGTCTCTGTTCATACCGTTTCCTTGTTCTTCTGTTCATGGACGGCGACTTCCTTGACGGAGTCGTGGAGTCGACGTTGCGCAGCGTGGCCAGCCAGCTCAAGATAGAGCTGCGGAAGGAACTCGGCAGGGCCTTCAGCTTGGAGCCGGCGGCCGCCCTGAGCGTGCCGATGCGGGATTCCCAGGGCCACCCGACGGACCAGACCAGATCCACCCGCCGTCCCCGTGGGCCCAGACTCCCCTGGAGGCTGATTTTCCAAGATGTCATGGTGGCACCGATCCCCAGGGAGGCCCTGGCCCACGGTTGGCCCAGCCATTCCAGGAAATCCCAGATCACCCCGCACGGTGCCCAGGGGTCCGCTGAGGGAGGGTGCGCGAAGAGCTGGGGGCACCCTGTGCCAGAAACGCTCGTGGTGGCACCCCGACGCTTCCAGAGGAGTCCGCACCCATTGGGTCACCTGGTGGGTCTGGTGTGGTATGTCTGGTAGGCTTTGATGAAGTGGCAAGGGCGGAGGAGACCGGCAAGGCAAGCAGTGCAGCCAACACGTCGGCAAGCAATTTTCTCGAGGTCAACCACCGCTCTGTCAACGCGTGGCAGAACAAGCTGACCGAGGAAGAGCAGGATCTGAGGCTTGTGCATAACCACCGCTTGAGGAACCGATGCCCCAGGATCAGAGAAAAGGCGCGTTGAGGCAACAGCAGTTGGCCCTCGGGGGGCCCCCTCGTCGCCGCGGCCGTGCGCCGCTCGGAAGACTGGTGCGCCTGGAACCCCGGGAGGGGGCCAGGGACCGATCTTGAGCTGCCGTTCTCTCAGCTCGGCCTGCTCTGGAGGCCGTGGCTCTGGACGTCCTTCCCCCCTCCAGCCTTCAGCCTTCGGGGCCCGAGAATCTATCCACATCCGCCGCCTCCCGTGGCTCGTCGGGTGCCGGCTGCTCGGGCGGCGGCGTCGCACGAGTCCCTGCCTCGCCACAGGAGGCCGTGAAGAACATCAGGAACTCGGCGATCGCGAAGGACAGAGGGCCGAACAGCTGCACCATGAGCACGAGGTGCGCAGGGATTCCTCGCGGGTCGGCGCTGGACCTTCTCCCCACGCGCCATGGCGGTGGCGTGGGGCAAGACGTGTGGTGCGCCGCATCGCCGATTCATCGGCGATGCGGCGCGGTGTGGAGCCAGATCTTCTCCACTCCGACGTCGCGGTTGCATCGCCGACGTCGCCAACGTCCCCGACGCATCGCCGATGCATCGGCCGTGCTCCGACCCCAGCAGCTCAGACCCCATTCGGGAGGCCTCTGCGTTAGGTTGGGGGACCAGCGCAAAACCGAAGACGTCCGCGCGGACCCCTGGGGCAGCATGCCTGCTCAGAGCGAGGCGGGTGGCGCGTCCACCGCACAGCCCAGGGCTGGTTCTTGCCGGAAGAGCCGAGGATCGCCACAAGACAGAGACGCGGATTGCGAAAGCGCGCTGTCTGCCGCTGCTGGCAGGGGGGGGGTCATCCCCAAAAACAGTGGGGAGAGGGGGTCCGGAGCCCCCTCTCCACCCCTCCCCAGGAGAATTATGAGAGGTGTCTGGACCCTCCATCCCCGGAGAAAATGATTCGGGGGGTCCTGACGCCCCGGCAACGACGACGACAGCGCAGGCGTAGAGTAGGGTATGGTAGGAGCGGAGTAGAAGGTAGAGTAGGGTCGAGTAGAGTAGGGTGGGTTACGGTAGGGTGGACTAGAGTACTGAGGTGTAGATCATAGCAGAGTCGAGTCGAGTAGAGAAGAGTACATGGGTAGAGTAGAGCAGGAAACGAGTAGAGTAGATTAGAGCAGAGGTGAGTAGAGTATAATAGGAGCCGGCTGTAGCGTAGAGATGAGTCAGCCAGGGTACGGTAAGGGATAGGGTAGAGTAGAGTAGTGTAGAGTAGAGTCGAGGAGAGTAGAGTAGGGTAAAACAGTGGAGAGTAGAGTCGAGTAGAGTAGCGTAGAGTAGGGGTAGAGTAGAGTAGAGAAAGAGAAAAGTGATCTAGAGTAGAGTCTGCTCGGACACGGTAGGGCAGAGTAGAGACAGGCAGGGTAGAGTAGAGTAGTGGAGCGCAGAGCAGAGCAGAGCAGAGCAGAGCAGAGCAGAGCAGAGCAGAGAGTATAATCGAGTAGAGCAGGGCAGGGTAGGGTAGGGTACAGCAGGGCCCTGGTGGGATACGGAGAGAGCTGGATCGAGCCCTAGTAGCATTCTATCAGAGCCGTCGCCTGGCGTGGGCGCTGGCGGCAGGTGCGCCGCCGCCGCTGATGTCGTCGTCGTCGTCGTCGTCGTCGTCGTCGTTGCCCAGGGGGGGCGGTGGCTTCTTGATCCCCCGATTCATTTTTCCAGACGGGGGGGGTGGATCCTGGACCCGCAGGTTCTTTCCGGGGGGGTGGGGGGGGAGGGGGGAGGTCAAGCTAGGTGCGCTCGCGTCATATCTGACGTCCTACCCCTCCCTCCCATCCCTTACCATGGCGCTGATTTTCTCTATCCGCGGACGCGTGTCGTAGCGGACCTGTGGCTCCGCGCGCGCGTGCGTAGTGGGTGGTGGTGCGTGCGTGCGTGCGTGCGTGTGTGCGTGGTTGTCGTGGTGGTGGTGGTGGTGGTGGTGGTGGTAGTGGTGGGTGGTGGTGGTGGTGGTGGTGGTGATGGTGGTGGTGGTGGTGGTGGTGGTGGTGGGTGGTGGTGGTGGTGTGTGGGTGGTGGTGGTGGTGGTGGTGGGTGGTGGTGGTGGTGGTGATGGTGGTGGTGGTGGTGCTGGTGGTGGTGGTGGTGCTGGTGGTGGTGGTGTTGGTACTGGTGCTGGTGCTGGTGGTGGGTGGTGGTGGTGGTGGTGGTGGTGGTGGTGGTGGTGGTGGTGGTGGTGGTGGTGGCGGTGCGGCGCGGTGGTGGCGGGCGGATGGGCGCGCGAGAAAAAGGCCCGCGCTGGGGCGAGAACGCCATCCTGAACGACGGAGGCCAAGCACCGATCCGAAAATGAGGCCCACGCTGCAGCGGGAGCACGATTCGGAACGATTCGGGAGCAGAAATGAGGCCGGCGCCTCAACGAGAGCAGCATTTTGGGGAAAAAATGGCGCCGGCGCCTCAGCGAGAGTCGTTTCCCGGGATTTCCCGGGCATCCTGTGTGTCAAAAAACAGTACGCGGAGGGTGCGCGGCCATCACCCGGACGCCATCAGGGGAAGGATTCGGGAGCAGAAATGAGGCCGGCGCCTCAACGAGAGCAGCATTTTGGGAAAAAATGACGCCGGCGCGAGAGCAGCATTTTGAGAAAAAATGACGCCGGCGCCTCAGCGAGAGTCGTTTCCCGGGATTTCCCGGGCATCCTGTGTGTAAAAAAACAGTACGCAGAGGGTACGCGGCCATCACCCGGACGCCATCAGGGGAAGAGGGAGAGTAGATTCATGTTGAGTAATTGCTAACGGTTAGGGAGGGGGGACCCTGCTTTCTGCCCCTTTTCCTCCCCCCTGGGGAAGGGGGGGAAGAGGGGGGAAGGGGGGAAGGCAGGGAGAGGGGGAAGGGGGGGGGAAGAGTTGTTTCAAGCTTGGTGCGCTCGCGTTCTCTGACGTCCTCCTCCCTCGCATCCCTTACCATGGCGCAGATCACCTCCCTATTCGCACAATCGGATGTCGTAGCGTGGCGAAGCATTACATGGCGCAACATGGTGCTGAACATTGGACGCGTGGCATGACATAACATGGCGTGGCGACGCCCCAAAATGAGGGAGGGGGGGCTTCTGCGGCCCAACGAATCGAATAATCGACACCGGATGTGTAGTCACTTCCGATGGCTTCTTCGGTGGGCCATTATTTAGATTTGCGGGCCTATTTAGAAGGAGCGAAAACCATGCCGTGGCATGGCATCGGAAATAAAAACGCCAGCGCTGCAGCGGGAACACGATTCTGAACGAGCGGAAGCGCTGAAATGAGGCCAGCGCTGCAGCGGGAGCACGATTCGGAACGAGCGGTAGCCAGAACATGAGACCAGCGCTTCAGCGAGAGCAGCATTTTGAAACAAAAACCAAGCGCGGAAACGCGGAAATGAGGACGCGTAGCCTGACATAGCATGGCGTGGCGACGCCCCCAAGTGGGAGGCTTCTGCGGCGCAGGAAACCAAAGAATCGACACCGAATGTGTAATCACTTCCGATTGTTTTCTCGGGGGGGCATTTTCGACATTTGCGGGCCATTTGGAAGGACCGAAAACCGTGCCGTGGCATGGCGCTGGAAATAATGACGCCAGCGCTGCAGCGGGAGCACGATTCGGAACGAGCGGAAGCTTGGATACGAGGCCAGCGCTGCAGCAGGAGCACGATTCGGAACGAACAGAGGCCAGCGCTTCAGCGAGAGCAGCATTTTGAAAAAACCCAAGCGCGGAAACGCAGAAATGAGGACGCGTAGCCTGATGACATAGCATGGCGTGGCGACGCCCCAAAATGAGGGAAGGGGGGGTTCCTATGGTTTTTTTCCGAGGGCATTGTTTAGATTGTGGGGCCTATATAGAAAGATCGAAAACCGTGCCGTGGCATGGCGCTGAAATGATGACGCAAGCGCTGCAGCGGGAGCACGATTCGAAACGAGCGGGAGATCGGAAGTGAGGCCAGCGCTGCAGCGGGAGTACGATACGGAACGAGCGGTAGCCAGAAAATGAGGCCAGCGCTTGAGCGAGAACAGCATTTCGAAAGAAAGAAGACACAAGCGAAAAGCGAAAATCCGATTCCTGGGAATCCTGCGTGTAAAAAGCGAGTGCGCGGAGGGGGGCCGGCCATTTCCCAGACGCCACCAGGGGAGAGAGGAGAGTAGTATTCTCATACGCACCTCTCCGAGGGAGTAGAGCTCAGAGGCGATTAATGCGCACGCGTCCGCGATTTTTCTGGGCGTTTCGCTCGGGACATCCTCGAAATTCTGAAAATCGGTGGCACCCCTCACGCAGATCGCGACGTCAGGGTCCAAAAACACATGGGGAAATTCAACATTTTAACATAAAACCTTCAAAAGCACATGGTAATTTCAATAATTGTGACCCCGATTCTCAGTGAATGGCGGTTTCGCTTGAAAAATCCTTCCAAAATCGAGCCCCAGACCCCGCCTCGGAGCCTCCTGGGGGCCTCCTGGAACCTCCTGGGGCCTCCTGGGCCTTCTGAACCTTCTGGCACCCCAGACCCCGCCTCGGAGCCTCCTGGGGGTGTCCTGAAACCTCCTGGGGCCTCCTGGGGCCTCCTGCGGCCTCCTGGAGCCTCTTGGGGCCTCCTGAAGCCTCCTGGGGTCTCCTGGGGCGTCCTGAGGCCGCCTGGGGCCTCCTGGGGCCTCCTGGGGCTTCAGAACTACATGCACACAGAGACAAAAATCACGCCCAACACATCACACGCTAGACAAACATAACACACACACACAACACCTACAACACACAAAAAGTACGCACCACACAAAGCATACATCACAACACACACACACACACACACGCACACGCACACGCACACGCACACGCACACGCACACGCACACGCACACGCACACGCACACGCACACGCACACGCACACGCACACGCACACGCACACGCACACGCACACGCACACGCACACGCACACGCACACGCACACGCACACGCACACGCACACGCACACGCACACGCACACGCACACGCACACGCACACGCACACGCACACGCACACGCACACGCACACGCACACGCACACGCACACGCACACGCACGCACACGCACACGCACACGCACACGCACACGCACACGCACACGCACACGCACACGCACACGCACACGCACACGCACACGCACACGCACACGCACACGCACACGCACACGCACACGCACACGCACACGCACACGCACACGCACACGCACACGCACACGCACACGCACACGCACACGCACACGCACACGCACACGCACACACGCACACGCACACGCACACGCACACGCACACGCACACGCACACGCACACGCACGCACACGCACACGCACACGCACACGCACACGCACACGCACACGCACACGCACACGCACACGCACACGCACACGCACACGCACA